ATCCTATTTATTAACAAAATGAACCATCAGGGAAGCCATCCATCACTGCACTAATCTCATATCTCGCTGTTCTTTTTATCAGCGCGTATCGCACTTCTACACATTCAAATATATCCTTATGCATCCAAGAAGATGAACTTTCGAATTGATCTTGACTAATATTAGGCGGATAGAAAACAGCAGAAAAAAGGAATATTTTTGCTACAAAAAGACTAGCTTGCTCAATGATATATCAACGCTCTGTGAAATGATATTTTTTGATATATATTCCGTATTATTCCACTTAACTGCAGTCACCTAATATGGTATGATTCTTACCAAACCATAGTTAAAGGTTCTTCACTCCTGTTATAAAAACCGTGTCGTGCAGCGGTACAAGTCGCATAATTTGCATTGATAGTAAAACAGTATCGTCAACAAATGCAAAATGTTTTGAAATTCGTGTTCAATTACATAGCTGCTGTTTATTCGGAAAATTAACGCAGAAATGTTTTCTACTAAGAAAATATTTAGCTCAATATCAGAAAGAAAATAAAGTACAATATGAATCTGACAGTTTGGCTTAAAATTTGAAGATTACGATGAAGAAACTAGGGAAGCTATAGAAGTAAATAAACGCAAAATACAGAACTTGACCAGAACTTTTTTCAAGAATTCATCAAGACATCCATCTGGGATTAAAAAAATTCACAACAAAGTAACAAAATACGGTACATAATTAAGAGATAAAGAAAAGAATGTCTCCAGTTTCACAATGGACAGATAAATTAGCAGCGAGACTTTCACATCATTTGCTCAATGAATGAATCCTTGGAATCATTCACTGGCAAAGAAATGTTTCAGGACTTTACCAAAGAAACACAAACAAATATGCAGTTTAGAATGGAATGATAATAAAATACTGCATAATGAATGAAGACGGCCCATGAATTCATATCATAACTGCTTGCATATAAGCTCTTTAAACAGTTTCTTGCGGCTTGTTTTATTATGCATACTTTTCAAAATAATGCATAAACTGTATTGTCAAACGGACTTAAGATATAATTTAACTGGAGTACGATAAATTTAACCGTTACTTTAACTTAAAACCAATTCCAACAAATTTTATGAAAATTTAGCAAAAGACTGCTTTTGAGAATGACAATTGTCTAGAGAAAAATGCATCGAATATAGAAGATATCTGGTCAAACTCAATGTTATATAAACGCGAAAAATGATAATGTGAATACAACACGTAGAAAATGAAATTAAGTGCCAGTACTCCGAAAAATACCAAAGTATGAAATTGCTTCTTCAATTGCTCTTATCTTCCATCTACTATTTTTATTCTTCGTTTAAAATAAATAAATAAAAACATCGATATCATACGTTGTTTCCACCTTGTTCAAACGATTTTTAGAATGCAACTTGAAGCGAAATTCCAGTTTTGATATATATATTACCCAAGTCTGAGGTAATTGTGGACTAAAGATTGTGCCTGTTCTTGGACGAAAGACCAAATTTTCTAGTAATTTCTGTTTCAATTTTTTTCTCTGCTTTACTTCTGTCTGTTATGGCAATGTTATGATGCGACGATGGAAGTGAATGGTGGGAAATAACAGTGCGAGCAGTTGCGACAACAATTGTAATGGTATCGACAGCCAACCACGCCAGAACGATGCAAGTGGTAGCAGCACGAGAGAACATTCCAGCAGACCAGTAGGTCAGTTATTTAATGGCTGGAAACAAGTCGCTGAAAGAACTTCCACATCACAGCCGACTTCCAAGAAGCGAATAGAAGTAACAGACCACAACGATAATGCTTATGCAATCCCTTGTTGCAGTACTTCTAAACAACGAAGGAAACTTCGAAACAAAGGAAGAAAGTGAAGAGGATTAACACGCATGGCACGATTGAAGCGGAAGAAAAGCCGTTGCAAAACGAGATGGATACCGAAAAAAAGAATGCTATGTGGTCGTACAATCAGGATATCAGAAGTCCGAGAAGAAAATGAAGGTTGAACGGAGAAAAATCGTATCTGGAATCATAGTAGAAAACAATGAGAAAACAGATGAAGCTGTGAAAAGCTCCGTGAAAGATGTAAGAGAGCACTCCGCCAGCTTACCAGAACTGAGAACCAGCAGGATGATAACGCTTGAAGTTATCATTCAAGGAATCGAGGTTCCGCAAAGCAGATGGCCAGGCTAAGTGCTGAAGACGGTTCTCGACCGTTTCGGGAAAATGCCGAGAGGGAGATGGGCGTTGTCGTTCTCTGTATTCCGAGCAGTTTGTGTGCACGATTGGCCTTCAAAAACTGAAGAAACAAGCGAATGCTGCAGTCATCAGTATTGCGGGACGTCCGTGTTTTCAGAAAAGTCCACGGAACGTGTCAATTCACAAAATATGCACTTCAAGGAAAATACGCGACACGACTCTAAGGTTTATCTAGATGTGAAGGAAAAATATCTAGTGCTGATGCAACAGGCACAGGGACGTCAGATAAACCAGACAAAGTGGACGCGGAATATTACAATGGAAAGCGTGGATCCGCTTATACTTGGAGCAGTAAACCACGCGGCGGATGAATATGCTACACAGAATCCCAATAAGTCAATGACGGATATTGCAAAGTAGCTCCAGGTAGCACAACAATGTTATGAAAACACGACGAAGCGAGAGAAGCCATCGGGGTGGAGGGCAAGCATAGAAA